TTTGTTCATATTGTTACCTGTCTTAATAATATAACTGAAGTGTTATTCTCTAATAGTACTACAGAAATAGTATTAAAATGGATAGTAGTTAGCTGATAATTTCCATTCTAACACAATTCAATGAGAAGGAAATATATACAGTACTTCTGTTATAAGGAAATGGCTATCACTGCAGCAGGGTGTGTTCAATTTTAGAACACAGAATACGTCAGATACATAAAGCAAGAGCATATATGTCAATAAAATGTATTAAAACATTTAATATATATTTAATAATATATTTTAATCAACAGCATATAGTTCATATTTTAATGTTATTAGTTCTAAGTGTACTGACTGAAATGGGATTCAAGCATCAAATGAGCCTGTGGGATAAATTCCACAACCTGGCATGGGCTAGATGCTCACATCTATTGCTTATCATGTCTATGGATGTTATAAGCGTCATCTTTGCAATCTTATTTCTCACAGCATGGACAGATAGACAAGAACCAGGGGGAAAAGTGACCAAACTTTGCTGTTTGAGTGACAGCAGAAAAGTAAGGGAAAACTGGAAATGGAAATGCTAACTTGAGGAAAAAGCTGAGCCAATCAACAGAAATAAACAAGTATTTTCATTTATTGAGTAAAAATAATGCCTATTATAAGGTCTAATGCCTCTCCATCTATAGGGTCAGTGTGACTAGATGTAGGGTTCCCTCCACACACATTTCTTATTTATGGTGTAAGATACGTTAGCATACATGTTTTTTAAAATAATCATTGGTATCCTTAAAAGGATAATCATTCAGAAATAACTAAGCCATTTGCAACTTTAAAAAAGGATGTATCAATCCTATATTCTTTGCAGCTCTCCCTCTCAATAATAAAAACATACAGAAAACAAAAATGCTTCTTCATTCAAATCTACTCATTAAAATAGTTTAGACATACAACACACACACACATACCTCACTCATAGCAATTAACCTTCCTGAGACAGAATTTATCATCCTTATTATTTCTTAACAGAAATACTTAATAAATTTCACACCAGAATATATTACCTTTGGTGTAGTTAAATTTTAGACTGATTTACAGTATCTGACAAAAGTCTAACTATGTCTAATTAAGCTTGATTAACCTCATGGAAAATGAATTGTGCAAGAAAGGTGTTTTCAGATTTTTCATTTTCCCTCCACAGACCTTCAAAATTATTAGCTATGAACATTTTTTAAAAGCAAGCTTAATTTCTTTAACTAATGCTGTTCAGATTTAATTTGAAAAACACAAACCTAAGGTTTTATTTATGACATATACGGGTAGTTAAATCATATTTTTAATTATGGTTTCCACAAAAGAAATCCAACTGTTTTACAAGTGTGGTTTACACACACACACACACACACACACACACACACACACACACACACACACAGAGGGTTTTGTGTTTGCAAGACACAGCAAGCAACTCTGCATGGTTACACATTGCAGGTTTTTACCATGATCTATTCAACAATCACATGATTTCTACATTAGCTCGGTTTCCATTGTCCCAGCTCTAACCTCCTGCTGGCAGCATGTACCCCATTGGCTACTCCACCTGCAATTCAGTCCCAAGATGCAGCACTCCCTACCTACATCACTTGCCTCTTCTTCCCTGGCCCACACAGTTCCCTGGATGTGTTCTCTGTCACCCCACTCTCTTCTCCTCTTTTACCCATGTCCTTCAGCCAACACTCTGTTAATAGATGGATCTGCCCATAGAAATGAACTTTTCCCACTGCAATCCTTCTCTATACTGAAGCATCTGTACCCTTTCTAACCTCCTGCACCGTTCCCTTATGGAAGATCTACTGAGGCTTGACTTTGTGCAGGAACAACAAACATGGCAATTAGGCTTCCCCTGCAGGTACGTACTCCCCCAGAGGGCCCATGTGTGGACATGCTTTGACCTCCATCTTCCTGACCATGCCTGCAGCCAGCATCATCCTCTTCCCCTCATTTCCCCCAGCAAAGTTCTTGTCACCTCCACCTTCACAATCAAACATTTCTGACTTGGCTCTCTTTCAAATCTCCTCCCATCCCTTTAGATCAGCCATCAAGAATACCCTCCTACCCCTCCCTGGTCATGAAATACATGCCCATGGAAATCACATAGTCACAAGCACACATCCTCCTGATCCCATAGCAAACCCGCTCCACAAGACAGACACATCTGCAGCAAAATGCATCTTTAGTTCAGCTATGTCAGAGGACTTGGGTTATGGAACACTGACTAGAGAAACTATAGGGTACAATTCCGCAAGCAGATTTATTCAACTCTTCCGCTGGTATGCAAGCTCTTCTACCCAGGAGTTGTGACCAGAAGGTAATCTCCCCCATCAACCCAGCAGAGCATTCTTCCCCGTGTATCCAATCACTGGATACAGATCTGCTACTTCTACAACCAGCTTTACACTTTCTGTTCTCTAGCATCATAAAAATCTGTCTTCACATTAATGCCCTATAGCTCATGTACAGCAATGTGCTAAGGACACAGAGACGCCTGCAGATCTGCTTTAGGGAAACCACATCAAAGGCTGTACCCAACACCTGCAAATCTTTCTGCAGGGCAAGAAACCCTTGATAGGACACCATGGTCACAGCTGCAAAGCATCCTTGCATTCACACTGGAATAGAAGCTTGAACCTAGTTGATGGGAGTTCTCCCAGATCTACAGAGAAGCAGCTGCATGGGTTTTCTGTACTTCACACCCAACTGCAGCGGGTCTAGGCGGGTTCAGAGGGTGTGGAGGGGCTGGTTGGACCACCACTGACCACTACAGCATCACTTCTGGCACCCAGGCAGTTCCAGGTTTTCTGCCAGCAACATGGATTCTGCATGCCTGAAGGAGAGCCTTCTACCCTATGCGCCTGCCCCTTGACATCTGAGGCAGAAGTCCTTCTCTGGGAGCCCTCTTTGAAGGAAATTAGGAGGGTAGCTATGCAGAGAAGGGCATTTTCAGCTGTGGTGCTCTGACTGTGGAACATGTTCTCCAGGTAGGTTTGCCTGGCACTGTTGCATTGTTCTTTTCAGCATCAGGCAAAGGCCTTTTTATTTTCTCAATATTTTAACACTTAATTGGCTTCATCCTTGTTTTTATCATCATTTATTGGATGCAATCTGTTGTTTGTTGTATATGGTTGCTTTGTTTTTTGTAAGTCATCTAGAGACTTTTTGTATTGGGATGGCATATAAAAACTTTAAATAAATAACGCTTCTGTGTGTTTCATAAATGTATTTTAGCCTTCCCCAGCCTGGTGTCCTACAGATGTTTTGGACTACAACTTGCAGCATTCCAATATGTGTTCCTCTGGATGTTGAACTGCAATTCTTATCAGCCCTAACAAAGCATAGAAAATGATAAGGGTTGATGAATGTTGCACTTCAACAATATCTTTAGAGCCTCACAATCCCTGCTGTAGGTCTACTTATTCTAAAGTACCCAAACCAGGCTATGGGCAGCTTGGGCGCATGGTTGGGTATGTGGTCCAATCCAGGCAGTTACGTCCAGGGTATCAGGTATTTAATAGCCTGCAACAAGTTCCAAATATAACCAGATCTGCCTAAAAAAGAAAAGCTTAGCCTCATTCTCTCTTCGCTTTATCTAGAGGGGAAGCACCACCATTTCAGTCTTGAGGGCCACACTGGGGTCCACTAGTACTACGCATCTGCATGCACATGCATCCTCATACAACTCCCACACACAGTCACACAATGCACTATCTAACAAATTATCAGAGCAATTAATTACAGATACCATATTGCAATCTGAATGCATTAGTTAATCACAGAGCTTTGCTAGCACCAAAGATCCAAAGGTTGAAGCTGCCTCCTCTCCAAAAAAAAAAGGAGAGCAAAAGGCTCCAGGCTTCCTGGCACTGAAACAAAATCCATAAAAGATTCCCAGAACATTGTAGGAAGCAAACTGAACTTTGTGCACGGTTTTCCAGGACATTCTAGGAACCAGACTTCTGGGGTAGGAATGACTGGAATACTCATCTGGAATATTGTGTCCAGCTCTGGGCACCAAGATTTAAGCAAGAGGTGGAAAAATTAGAAAGGGTCCAGAGGAGGGCAACAAATGAGCCAGAGTTTGGAAACATTGTCCTATGAAGAGAGACTGGGAGAACAGTGTATGTTCAGCCTTGAGAAGGCTGAGGGGGATCAAGGTATCACTCTGTAAGATCTTCAAATTGGTGTCCTACAACAGCAGGGGTTTGGACCCAATGGCCTTCCCGGTCCCTTTCAACTCTACTGTTCTATGATTGTTAAAATTGAACATATTCCTAAAACATTTTTTCCTGTGACAGCAAGGAGTGTCAGACAGGAATTTGGAAACCACATCCTTTACACTTCTGGCCTACTCCATTTCTTTCATTCATTCATTCATTCATTCATTTAAAACATTTCTATGCCGCCCCCATCGCAACAAAGCCTCAGGGCGGCTCACAAAAAATGCATAAAAACATAAATAATAATAATAATTTAAAAGAAAAAAACTTTTAAAAACTCCCGGTGCATTCCCGGCTAATTTTAAAATCCTAATTAATTCAATAATTTAGCAATTAAAATAAGTTTTAAATAAAAAAGTCTTAGCCTGGCGCCGAAAAACAAATAACGATGGCGCCAGGCGGACCTCTCTGGGGAGCGCATTCCATAGATGGGGTACCACCGCAGAGAAAGCCCTCCTCCGGGTACTCACCCTCCTAATATCATTCACAGAGGGTTCCCGGAGAAGGGCATCGGTTGCTGATCTCAAGGGGCAGGAGGGTATATATGGGCGCAAGCGTTCCTTTAGATAGCCAGATCCCAAGCCGTTTAGGGCTTTATAGGTCACACACTTGAAGGCTGCTTCTGACAAGATTATTTGTGCTGTGGTAGATACCCAGGTACAAAGGACATCCATTAAGAAGGCTGAAAGCATACATAAAAAGGAACAGTTCCCATTTGTATTTGAAAAGAAAAAGCCATGAACCTTTTTTTAACTGTATTTACATTTAATCAGTATTTGTATGCAACTATGATTTCTCCTAACAAGCAGTTACCACTTCAAGCATCAGATATTTATTCCCCCCAAAACAGAGATAAACATTGGATACTTTGAGAAGGTCATACCATACTCTGAATTTAATATATAACCTGTCCAGTTGACAACAGAAAAGTCAGCCATTCTGCATCTAAATATTTTACCATCTAAGTCCTTTCAACTGGATTCACTTCAAATCAAGTATGTTTACTGCTGTAGCTGAAAAGTTCTATGTAAGTGACAAAGGATACAATTTTAACTTTTTTTATTGCACAATGAAAAGGGAAATGGGGGTGGAGTGTTTACAATGAAAGAACAGAGATGGTAAACTTGGAATTCTAACACAAGTTACAGGAAGTTATTATGAACCCATATGTTTAGAACCACTTGAACAGACCATTCTCTTCTCTTTCATACTCTTGCTACACAACTGAGTTCCTATGAACTTCCCTTATATGGTCAGAACATTGGTCTATTTAGCCCGACATTACCTGTTCTGACTAGCAGTGATTGTCCAGGAACTTAAGTACAGGTCCCACATGTGAGCTTTCAAATGTGAGATGCCAGTGATTGAACCCACACCCACATGCAATGTATATGACAAACTAGTGCTCTCTCATGCCATTGGCAACTTTTCAAGCCATTCTATTTGAATAAAGATGAAGCAAATTGTTTTTCTGTTCTAAATCCAGTTCTAATTAAACTATACCACTATTATATATTCTGGAAATTTAAACGGACACTGTATATATTCTGGAAATTTAAAAGGACACTTCTCAATCAACTTCACTAGAAGGATATTGTACTAAATTCAACTGTACCTTGCGTCAATAGGTACTACTTCAGAGTTAAGTGGTTTAAAACAGAAGCCGCAGCATAATTTCTGTGCAACAGATAATGTACAAAGTAATTGCTTGGGACCAGTTTCATCCGAGAAGGCAATGATGGAAAGACCTTTGAGATATCTTTCAATCCTAGGTTCTCATATGAGGATTGGGGTACAGAGCATCAAAGGAGGCATGATGTTCTGAGAGAGGATGTATGTCCAAAACCAGCTAAAACTGCTCCCCCTTCAAGGTTTGGCACTGCAGTTGCTCCTGTCTAGAAGAAACCAAACTACCCTAGTAAGGGACACTGGTATTCCTGCAGCATACTCTCTGTATTCATCCTGGCATTTGAGAGTTCGTGTTGCAGTTCTAGTTTAAGAGGTGATTCCTTTCCTATGAAAAAAAGCTTTGTCTGTTGCAGGCATGCTTTCACATTTAATGTCTTTGCTCCTAGCACCCACTGTCTCTCTCTCCCCAGCTAACAACTTCTTCCTGAGTTCTTTTTTCTAAATGCCTGAGTTCAGGCAAAAGAGCTGCATGGTGCATCCACATGTACCAGATAAAGCACATATTTGGGGCAGGGGGCGTAGAACAAGCACAAGATCATTGAGGACTCTAGGTGTCTAGCAGTTTGTCTGATCATTGAGAGAAAGGCATTGTGCATCTATCGTTATTTCTTCCTTAAGAAGAATAAAACAGAAGCAGCTATGGGAAACCACAGGAAAGTAGTAAGTGGATGACAAGTCTGGACATCCCTTAAAATTCCCTGAATGAGGCAGAACAATGATACAATAAAGGCCTAATTTTAAAGGACGTATGTTCCAATAATGGAGCCTTAGAACACATGGCTGCATTCAGTTTGAAACTGCAATCAAATTAGTTTTAAATATTTGTCAAATGGTTCAGGAAAGAATGATGTACACAAGATAGTAAGAGCTAATATGTCTTTATACAGTCTTTATACAGACTGTCTTTATAATAAATATATTCCAATATGCTCCATCAAGAAGGGGAGAATGTACTCAACATGGGCAAAAAATATCAATAATTCTGTGGCTTCTAAGAGAAGCATATACTAGTAGGATTAGTGTCCTGCAGTATTTTTCACTGCAGAGAGTAAAGAGACTTTCAAATTGTAATGAGAAAAGTGTAAAATTACTGCACTGTTTTGTTATCTCATCTTTAAAGTTCTTGCACTATTAGTAAGGAATCCTTTTGCGTTTGATATTTTGACCAATGTAACTTTTCTTCTTCACCCTCTGCAATATTCTCTGAATATATTTCCCACTGACATCATGAAATGTGGCCCTCTTCTAATGTAGGTGCTGATGTGTCATGTGAACAATGGGACTTATGGTCCAATATTATTTACTGTAGCAGCTGCTCACCACAGCATAGCATTTAACCTCTAACCTTTTTTTCTAGGGGAAAGATTGATCCAGTCTCTCAGACTGAGCAGTGATAGAGAAGCAACTCTCGGGTCCTCTGCGCAGAAAGGGGCTTTAAGGCATCATCTCTGATGCATTATTTTGCAAATATGGATAAAACATGGGCAGGAAGGTGCTGATTCCATTACATGGAATCCAAAAATTTCTTAGCTCTTGTAATCAAGAGCAATCATGCACCACTGTATTGGTTGTAGGTTTGAGAGTAATAATTTGCTCAGAAATTGCACCCCTGTCTAGCTTGTCAGGGGTAAGACACAGTGGCAACAATGATGGTGCAAGTACCACTTGAGCTACAGAAGCCACACTGTCACAATATTTACTGAAATAATACACAGGAAGCATTGTGAACACCTACATAAATGCTGAGCATTATTATTAATAACCAATGCTTAGCAGATACTTTTTGCAATATCTGACTCTTCCAAGTTTTTGAGAAAGGTGTGTATCAGATAAATCAGATACTACCTCTAGAATGTTATCCTTGCTCTCCTTTTGTGAATCAGACAGGGCTAACTAGATGTGACCAGGATTCCATCTCTCTGAAATGTTCTCCTGTTGTTTTTTTGTTTATAATGAAAAGCAGCCATGGAAAGTTGATCACAGCAAAAAGAAGCAGCAGATATAAACCCCTATTCCCTTCTGCTGTTTGTCTGCTAAAAAATAAAACCCACCTAGCAGGAGAAAAGCTATAGAGAGAAAAGCAACAGAAGTAATTTTCAAATAGACAGCACATCTTTAAAAGGTTTAAGCAATCGCTGCTCCTGTTGCATTTTATTCCAAACACAGCTTTCTAATACTGCTTTTCATATGCTTATAAACAAACAAATCAAGAGACAGAACTCTATGTTATGACTAGTTTGGTCCTACATTGTTCATATGATCACAATGTATCCAAAGAGTGAAATACTGTATATATACAAATGCTACACATATGATTTATACAGGCAGAAGGTCAACAGTGATGAAACTACATTCTTAAGATATGACACTGCATCTGTATAAACCCAACTCAAACCAGCCTGTGGCATTGAACCAAGAGAATGTAATCTCTTCCTGCCTAGTCATTGCTTTTCACAGCAGCCAATATTAGGACTGGACTCAGCATCTAAGTGGCATAGCTACAGTTAAAACAGGCATACAAAATTTAATCACATTTCATCCATCAGCAAATTAATTATTTTTCTGAATGTACTTTGTACCATGGAACAAATAATTACTTCTTTGTTAGATCTAACTGTCTTAACAGCCTTCCCAATAATGATAGTCTTAATAAACTAAATAGAGTAGAAGTTCTAGAAGTTGGTCATAGTTATATCGTTATCACATATTGCTGTCGTATCAGTCTGTTCCATTATTCTGAGACTAATTTCTATTTTAATTAAATTGTGAATCACTGGAAGTATACTTAGATCTTATATATGCAGATTCATTTCTTCCAGAATGCAAAGACTGAACATGTAATTCAGAAAGACATATAGGTGCCAACACTGTAAAGATTCATAAACATGTTTAATGTTCATGCAGTGCTGTCTGAAAGGAGTGCAAACCAAACCGGTTTCAAATCAGTGCTTACAGATGTTTCAGTTGAAACTGGGAGACTCAGTTTTAATTGCTAATGAAACATTTTACTATGTTTGCACAAAGACTGAAATAGAGGTTTGTAGCATCTATTTAAAAAGTGTAAATTATCTTTCTCTTTTTAGGCCTATCAGAACAAACTATACTCAAAACTGAAATTTTGTTCATAGTCTCCTGCTGTCAAAACAATATACATAAAAATACAATGCATTTTCATGCTCTCACTCCCCACTCTGGCTTTGTTCTTATCAAATGTTGCTAGATCTTTTGCTTGACTGCTTCTCTTCGAGTCATAACATCAGGGTCAGTGCTTAACTAAGATTCACTGAAACATGTCATGGGTTTTGGCTGGAGACAGTTTTCACCCCACCCCCGCCACTTATTTCAAAGTTTTCCTTCTTGGAAAAAGAAGAAAAAATAGCCATCTTAAATTCATGCTTCACTGAATGGTTAGTCCAATACCATTTCTGTGATCTTCTGATAATTATTTTATTTTAATATTAGATGGGTTTGAAATGACCAACATATTAATATTAATCCACTTAGTTATTGGCTGGATAGATTGCTGGTGGGTTAACTCTTTAAAAAATGCAATGAATCCCACACTCAGAATTAACTCTTCTCCTGTGGTAAGCCGCAACACCTTTATCAGTTGAAATTGTCTCAGATATACAAAACTGATCAGCTTGTTATTGTTCCTTAGCAAATTTGGCTTGGTAAGAAAAATGTTTTGCAAAAATCATAATTATGGTGATTAATTTTATAAAATCTACCAAGTTAATTATTACTAAGTCAAACTCTCAATGCTTTCCCAGGAATCTGGGTCAACACTGAAGAAATAAGCTTTCTGAATTGTGGAAAAAATCAGTAACTTACATTTTAAAGGTCAACATTTCGTTTGAAGAACATGTATACTGTTGTTGGTGGCAAGATCAAAAAAGCTCCCATAGTGGTGTCCTTTTTATAATGGATTAAACTCTGCAATATAAAAATGCAGTAACGTGCGTTTTCTAAGCACATATTTACCTACACTAGAAATTATTTGTTACATTATATTGCTGTGTAAGATACTACTGAAAAGGGGGTCAACACTATTTTGATGATTTTTACCTACAACTAGAAGCTGATCTTTAAAAAATAGTACCTTTTAACTATACATTTGTATAATCTAACTGCAGTCACAGTGCAACATCTTCTGTCATTTGTGATCAGCTAACCAAGCATGTTTTGGCCAAGTAATTACATTAACTCACACCAAAAAAATGCATCATGTCAGTCTTTTAAAGTCCTCTCTGTTCTTGCTATTACAGTCTCAAAGCAGGTCTGTCTAGGGAAATAATTGGCTACTGTAGAGTGGAAGATTTTGGAATCTGGACCAAAGAGACTCGTTTCTGGATGCAGCTGTCCCCAATCATGGTAGAAAACACTGGTGGTTTATCGATTCGCTTTATATTTGGAAGCATCCCTGGGTTCTCTGCTAGGGTTGCTCCAGTCATCAGCTTCTGGGGTGGTTTTGTAATGCCGCCAGGCCGATTTATTAAAAACCGGCAGTCTTTCAAATGATTCACTGGAAAGAGCCTAAAGAAAGAAAATGTATAAGGTTATGTTCAGATACCAACAACACAAATCACTTTACCACAAAATTTTCTGAGGACAACTAGGCAACACAAGTTGTTGTGGTTGAGAAGGAAGAGAGGATGGAGAAGACTTGTTGAGGAGTCTACACAACATGACAACCCACCCTGCAAATAAACTATGCAATCTGGGTTGTTCATGGAAGAACCTTACAGTTTTGATTGGCCCTACTGTACATTGTTTCCCCCTTCCCCCTAATCCTCCAGTTAGTATCCCAGAGTCCTTTGCAGCAGAACTCATCTTCCCCTCCCTGCTCCAATTGTGATCTTTTTGCTTCCTCCACCTTTACCCCGCATCCCTGTGCTGCCACCAGTGAGAGCTACTCCAATGGCCAAGAGGCACTTTGGAGCAACTGCCACTGGTTCCTCAGTTTTCTTATCTTTCTTTCTTACCCTTTTAAAAAAATTGGTGGTAGAAATTTATGCCACTAAAATTGTGTTGGAGTCTTTCCTTTTTCAGTCTTTTGCAGGGTTGCTGTTACAGCTGCCTGAAATGCAAAGTCTTACTTGGGCAATGTCCTGGTGTGTGTCTGCTGCCAAAGTGCAATAAGTACCATCCATGGACACTGATCAAGGAAGGCTGCATAGAGACTGCTTTGCACAAATTCACAGCTGTCACTTTGAAAAGCAAAGTGGCAACAGTGAATGGTTTTTAATCCCCAAAGGGGTTGGCAAACATATCCTTAGCAGTGTTATACTCTAGTTTTTAACTATTGCCTAGACAATTTTCAGCACCTTCCACTTTTCCGTATTTGTCCAAGCCTCTAGGCAGTGCAGAGACGGCAAATCTACATCTCACACCCTTTTTGTGATTTTTAAAAAATGATCCGGCCAATTGGAGCATTTTTGGGGGCAATAAAATATCCAGCCATGAAATATGTCTGCATCTCACAACTGCAATGGGAATAGCATCTCAGCCATGGCTTGCTGCCCCAAGATAACCCTCTCTGTGGAAAGCAGTTCAGATTCAAATGGCACAAGAACCCACCAGGATGGGCTGCTCCATTCTTTGAACACATCTGTTGTATGAAAAGTCAGCTCACTTAGTGGTTTGTTCTTTGATACTCATTAATGTCTATCTTCATGTGTGTGTGTGTATTTGATTCTGAAATTCTGCAGCCTCCTGATCATGATGGCACTGATCTGATTCAAGACTGTATAACCACATCAAAGAAAGCTTATGAAGAAAAGTGGGAAGTTTGCTTCAAGTATACAATGCACCACTGTCTGGAAAGATTGCTATCATACTGCTTTCATCTGAAAACATTTTCTGCTTTCCTATTAGTGATCTACTAGCAATATTAGAGAAAAAGGGTTTAATAAAATAAAGGATTAACTTTTGTACCTTAAAAAAGCACTGAATATTCAGTCTCAAAAGTCTTGACATTTCTCTAGGAAAAAGTTCCAAGAATGTGAAGAAATCTTTGCCTTTATAGCTTGCAACACGCCTTTACTTTACATAAAATACTTAACATTGAATAATGCAAGACCAATTATGTTAAACTAAATTCCTATTTATGATGTCTAATATAAATTCATAGCATTAACACTTTTGCACAGGGATTAAGCATTTAGCCTGTTATGAGGCTTTTATAGTCATGCCAGAAAAAGAAACAGAATTACTGATTGTGTTTCTGATAAAAGAGTCTTTGTATTACCTTCAAATAAATTACAGCATCAGTACCAACACCTTCCATTGAGTAGAGTTTGAGATCCCCTTGAAAGTATCTAGCATAAAGACGGGAGATTGGCAGACCATAGCCATATCCAGCCTAGAGTAGAAATCAATAATGTTACACATGAAGAACACCTTCACCCTATTATTGTCTCAACTTTCAGGAATGATACTCTGCTCTATGTAGCATTAGTCAAGTAGTGCATGGGGCAGGGTATCCACAATAGTGATGTCTATGTTTATGGAAGAGCTTTCAAGGAGAAGTCACTAATTTCCATTGTTCAATATGTTTCCCCAGAAGGTGAAGACTTTTTTATTTCTAAAACATTTTCAGGACAATCCAAGGGACATTTTTTAAATGTGTGCTGTCTTTAAATATTATTTTACTGCTCCTTTGTAGTTCTTTGTGATATTTAGATTAAGTGCTATGAGGTTCTGACTGCTTATTCTCTTAAATGGTTTTTCAGAAGGTATTAGGCATTTTAATAGAAAGGTGGAAGCAGCAAATGATTAATTTTTAATGGTAGTAATTTTTCTCTTTTCAAGCTCTAATGACCCTATGGACGTAATGGGGTTCAAGGTCACAGAAAATTAGTTCTGAGAATGTGGGAAAGAGAAAATTCACAAGCACACTTTTCTACAACATGCACAAATGAACAGCAAGTCTCACTGCAGAGACTTGAGAAGGATGTGGACTGTGCTGTGCTCCTAAGGATGTCGTTACATGAGGAGAACGGACAGTGATCCACATGGCATCCAAACAAGCTGATAGTCTTTCAGGACTCTCCACAGTGGTAGTTAGTACTGCAATATCCCAGCCACTGCTCAGTGGTGCTGAGATTCTGATGGTAGTTTATTAGTGGTTTTTCGGCGCCAGGTAAAGACCTTTTTATTTAAACATCATTTTAATTGTTAAAATATATGATCTGGCCAGGGCAACTTCTTCTTCCTTCTCTTTTCTCCTCCTATATTATTTATTTACTTATTTTATACTGATAATTTTAATTTTATATTATTATGTTTGTAACTCAATGTATTTTTTTGTATTTTTGTATTTAATGGTAATTTATTATGTTCTATTGTATTTCAATGTATTTTATTGTGTTGTAAGCTGCCCCGAGGCTTCGGCAAGGGGCGGCATAGAAATGTTATAATAACAACAACAACAACAACAACATTACTTGGGATTGTTATTCACAGAAGTCTCTAAACACAGGAGATGTGAACAAAGTAAGAGCTGGAACTGCATCCTTCAGTTAGTTTACTTTGCCAGATCAATTATTGTTGATAGCATGAAGCAATGAATGAAAGAAGAAAGTTGTTGAGAAAATAAGACTTGCAATTTTGGCAACAGAAAAAATTATGACAATGTATAGAATGCTCACCATGTTTCAAGTATGTTTGGTAGAACTTGATGCCTTTCAAGTAAGCAAAAATTTCTACCATATACTACTTGCAAAGAACCTGAAAATCATACTGAAAGATTCGGTCCTCAAACCAACTGGGACCTAGCTACTTTATGATCTCAGGCTGTGTGATAAATCAAAGAGATGGGCTTTTCCCCAGATCTGAACTCACTAAAAAGAAACATGTTAGTGAGGCAATTGTTTATTCATTAGATTCCTTCTAACATTCCTATGCTTGGAGTCAATGCTAATGAATAAAACATGTTTTGAGATTAGTGCAATCTATGGCATGAAGTTACTCTTGAAACTGACAGGGATCTGCCTTCTAGCATAGCTCTGTCTTGACTTCTGCTACACAACGGGTAACATTTTATCGTTCTTGATTAGTCATAAGCCCCACATCAGTAAGTGAGTTTAGACATCAGATGATTGCCTGCTTGGTGGCTTGCCACGACTTGCTTCTCCCTCAGTCTCTCTCATTCTCCTGGCTGGTCCTGCAGCCGTTGCAGAAGTAATAATTGTTCTCTGTGTCAACAACCTTTCAAGCAATTGGTCCACTGGGGTTGCTGATTCACAAGGGAAACTCCCTCTGCTCCTGTTTCTGATTGCCAAAAGGATTTAGGTTTCTGAGCCTTTATGAACATGGGAACTATGTGCAAACGTATTTCATTTTTGTTTAATGGACTTGTGCACATAGCTGCAAGGCTGCCTTGGCATACTGTGTTCCCAACTCTCCCTTCAGTTCCAGATAATGGTGGACGAGTTCTGTGAATCCAGATGACCACTCAAAGAGCTACAGTCCCAGCTAAGCAGCCTGTCTTTCTTCTTTGTGGTCTCTGTGCATTGCACAGTAGGGTAAGTGGCAAGTTGGTTCACTTACCCAAAGTGGGTCAGTGCTGTCAGTGAAGCACAGAAGACAGAACAGACGGTCCAAAAAACCAGTCTGATTGGGAAAGTGCTTGGAGCCTGTAATGTGGGATAAAGTAGATGGTTCTGGCCAAGGGGCTACATGACATGGATCTCACAAAGGGACACTTCTGCTGAATGCCACAGAAGCAGCCACTCCTCGTGCCAAGTGTCCCCGCAATGGTCCCAAGAGTTCTAGTTCTGACAATGTACAAGGTGTCCCAAATTGAAATCATTTCATAGTCTAATAACACAGCGAATTCTTGCTCAAATGATCTCAAATTTTAACAAAATGTGTAAAAACTAACTAATGTTAGTTACACAATGTTATGCAAGACATACTACAGCGTGTTTGGCAGGAGGTGGACTACCAAATTGACGTGTGTCATGTCACAGGCGGTGCGCATATTGAACATTTGTGAAGCTATGCAAAATCGGTTGTAAAATCTACATCCCTTTGAATCTCTTGTTCAAATTTTGATAAATAAATCTTTTATTGTTAAACACGAAGCCTATTTAATTTTGTTTGTCTAGGACACGTAGTTACTCACATATTCACATTTCAAATAATGTCAAATTTTTTGGGACACCCTGTATATACCAAATGGATAATATGAACAATCCACAATGCTTAATGTAGTGATGAAATAGGCAACTCTTTACCCTTGCATCCTTAATATATGGGAAGTCTGGCAGAAAGTATTTGTTCTAGATTTGGATAATGTTGAAACTCCTCTCATGTCAAGAGAATGAAGCATTGTCCCCACTGGTGAAAAGGGGAAGACAAAAAGGAGGCAAAATGGCTTACTCAGGTGAAAGTCTGAAATGACCTTACATAGGAAAGATGAAAAAGGCCAGGGATGACCTAGTCTATGTGGAGTATGATGTAAGAGGAATCCACCATTAGGGGACTGAGTTCACTGGATTGTTAGGCTGATATGGTCACATCAAGGAAGGTGACCTTTGAAATGAAGGTGAAAATCAATTGTTGTAAGAGATTCAAAGCACTTTAATGTTAAAGCTTGTAAAACTAGCTACCAATACACTCCAAGTCAATAGCAGGACATGGACAGGTAGTATAATATTTCATATTCTTGGAAGAATTGATATAATAAAGCATGTGAGAAAGATTAAAAAAAAACCCTCCTAATAATGCATGAGGGGCAAAATTTGTTGCCAGGTAAAATCAAATAAGCAACTTCTCTGAGCCTTATTTTCATATTGAGAAGAACATTGAAAAGAAAATTTAAGTGTACAGAAAAAATAGTAAGATTTACCCTGCCCTAGAATATGGAGGAGAAAAAAGCAGTCCATTGACAGACACAGGAAGATCACATGGAGAAGGACAGTCACTGAAAAGCAGGGTAACAGCCTGAGTACCATTCATGGATAAAATCTCCAAGCTGTTGGATGAAGACTCTGGATGCTTAATGATGTTTGAGAAGGCTTGCATTCCGAGAAACCAAGTTCTGTAGCAATGGAAGGTGGTAGAACTCCCTTTTTGCCTGGTTCAGAAAGAGTGCCACCCATGCTTGACATGGCCACCAAGGCATAACTAGGATCCCATCTGTCATGCCTGATCTCTGTTTCACCAGTGGGGAAGGTGGGAATTAGTAGCACACAGTCCCTGTCCAATGGATGAGGAACACATCACCGGGGAACCATAACCAATTCCCCTCCTGATTGAAAAGTATCATGCACGCTATATTGTCATGATGAGATCTATGGTGGGTGTGCCCCAGCTTTTGAACAGAGGAAGTAGTATAGCCAGGGGAAGCTGCCACTTGTGTGTGAGGTGTGGTGACCATAAGAAGTCTAAGTTCATGCTGCTCACCCAGTGAAATAAACTGCTATGAGGGAGATCCCCTGAAGAATACTTCAATTCCATATTTGATACTGGGAGATTCAATAGACAGGCTGAGTGCATGCCTCCGTATCAGTTTTCTACAATGGAAGTCTGTCTTAGACATGATACTGAAGACTTTTGAGAGAGCGGTTTGTGTGAAAGAGAAGTCTTGCTAAATACTGTTTCGATCCACCATTAGAGGGAGTATTGTACTGGATCTGCTATGGTTAGACAGGTCCTGCAAGGACTGACTGTGGGAATGAGCAACTGAATGACAGTTCTGTGGTAGCAGCATTTTGAGACAAGCAAATGTAACCACTGCTACCACAGTGGCCATAAAACCAAACAGGCATTAAGCACAGTAAATGCTTGTCTGAGGCTGGTGGTATAACTTGGCTGATAGTGCCACCAAAACCAAGGTTTGGTCCCAAGGTACTGGAACATCAGCACAGATATTTCTGTCATTTTCTCACATACAGGCCAAGTGAAAGCTGAAATGAGCTGGTAAGAAGAACAGACTGGTGAAGTTCTTTTGTCTGTTGGGGTGACCAGCAACCACTAATCTAAGTAAGGATAACCTGGGTGCCACAAAGCCAAAGGCAGGCAGAGATTACCGGTAAAAAGTGAGCTGTCACAAGGCCTCAGGAGAGAATCCAAAACTATTACACACCGGATCTTATGGTGCTCTTGATCCCAAAGTGCAAATCCACACCCTTGAGGTCCAACAGTCTCCCTTATGGAGAAGGAATAGAATGAAGGTTAATGTCACCTTTTTAACTTTCCTAGGGTGATATAGGAATTGACCCCCCCTAAGGTCCAGGATTGGTTAAAGACCTCCTTCCTTTTTTTTGGCACCATGAAGGATCTGGAGCAGAAGTTGTCCAACAGTAGATGATTTGGGATGAAAACGAATTCTCCCTTTTTAAGAAGAGTGTCAACTTCTTCCCTCAGAACTGACAATGGAACTGTAAAAATAATGGTACCCAAAGGTGGGAGGATGTCAAACTTGATTCTGTAGCACCTGTGAATGAGGGTGCGCAAGATGGTGGATCAGATAAAATTGTCAATGGCTGAATGTCTCTGTGCAAGTAAAAAAAATGCATTTTGACTGGTAGGGATTGTGTCCTTCTAGTGAATTAATAGTACTCGTTTTGGAAAGGATATCTAGGCTTGAAAAAATCTGAGGTATTGGTCTAAATCAGGGGTCCTCAAAGGTTTTCCCCAGGGGGACAGTTGAAAGGTGCTGGTGCTGGGCACAGGCCAGAAAGGTGGTGCTGGCGGGGTGCACGGGCGCAGCAAGGCACAGGCGGGTGCACGCGGCAAGGGGAGGCAAGGCGAGGCAAGGTGGGGGTGGGCACATGCCGCGATGCAGCAGCTTGCTCGCTTGGAGATCATTTTCTCCGAGCAAGTCCAAAACGATCTCCTCACGAGCAAGCTGCTGCCTCCCTGTGCGGGGGACGAGGCAGGCGCGCAGAGAGTTGAAACCCTCTGAGGCGGGCTGGATAAATGGCCATGGTGGGCCAGATCCAGCCCCCAGGCTGTAGTTTGAGGACCCATGGTCTACATGCTCTGGCTGAAAGCAAATGGAGGTGTTCCTTATTATGGTCCTGGCAGAGCTAACAGAATAACAGTGATTCATGGAAGGGGGTTGAAATCCCAATCCCATTTTGCAAGTTGAAGTTTTCATCTTTTGGAAATGATCTATGGAGAAGCTAAAAATCTGTGGAGGAGTTAAAGAACCTCTCTCTGTCAAACAGGCCCTTTTTCATTCTGGATCTGGCCTCTTGGTTGAATCCTGCAGTTCTCTTCCAAGCATGACATCTCAATGATATGGTTTCTGCCAACCTTGAAACCACAATCACCATGTGCCTTGCTGTACTGATCTAGATCAGTGAGTCTGTGTCTGTCTGTGAGTTTTGGCCTAGAATGTCATTGCTAAATTTCTGATGTCTTATATTTGTAAATCAATGTATTTTTTGTATTTTTGTATTTAATGGTAATTTATTATGTGCTATTGTATTTCAATGTATTTTATCGTGTTGTAAGCCGCCCCGAGGTTTCGGCAAGGGGCGGCATAGAAATGTTTAATAAGAAAATACAGATAGATTGCCATGAAGATCTCTTAATCTGCCAGCTGAAGTGCAAAACAAGACTCAAGAACTACCAATATCCTTTACTTCAAGTCAAATGGTGCTTCTATCAGCCTTTAGATTATGAGGATTTGATGATTATAGAGTTGAAAGTTGGCTGTTTGAAGAGGAAAACAATCTTCCTTCTGAACTCTTGGCATTTCAAGACATTGGTGGAGGGTTTAGTCTACAATGTTTTGTTCATATGAAAAATGCTGGGGACCATAGTGCTGGGAATGAAAGGGGGCAGTTGTTCTTGGCTCTGGTTCCAAGGTCAGGCAGATTCAGGCTCATCACATGATGGGCCCTGGGAACTGACATCCTCAGACCTTGAAACAGGAGACACAGAGGTGCTTATTTCAAGGTCATCCTTCCCATGTGTTCAGGTGGACTCTGAGAATTGTCAGAATCTACAGCTGCAAAAAGGGGGCATGGGAGAAAAACTCTAGCAGTCAGCTGAGTCTGGTATGACTCTTGGCCCCATGACATGGCATAGGAAGAGACAGGCCACCCAACTAAAGGGGTGATGGATACAGAAGAGGCTTGCCTACCACCAAAAGGGCCCTTCCAGAGATACCCAAAAAGAGGTTCTTGCTCAGACTCCAACTATAGAGATTGTACCTTAGAGAATAAAGATTTTTTTGTAAAGGAACAGTTTGTTGCTTTGAATGTGCAAAGGGGAAGACCTAACTCCTGACATCTATATACTGGTGCTGTTAGATCAGAATACTGGGTCTATAACCACGCAAGTTCTTCAGAACACTGGGTCTATAATTACAACCAGAGGAACCTTGATGCCCAAGCCCAGATATCCTGCCATCCTAAGAACCTGTTTGTCCTTATGTGACATGCTGGCGGGAGAGAGGTGTATGTGGGGAGGTGGTGGAGGCCACCACAGATAAAGGGGAAGGATGGGTCAAGGGCAGGCTCTGAGACATAGCTGACTCTAGTGCAAGGCTGATACATGCATGGGCAGGAGTGGTTGTACAGGGATAGAGGGTAGAGCTGGGGCATGTGGTAAAGCGATCACTGGCAGTGGTTTAATGCAGATCAATGATGAGGCAGTATGAAGCAGCCCCCATTTTGCTGCTGAATCTGCAATCTCTAGGGCACAAAGATGAGAGTTCTGCTGTGTCTGCTTTGTCTGTGAAAAACCTGGCAATGTGTACAGGAATCAACCCAATGACAAAGAAGGCACAAAGAGTGATCATCTGTCAGCAGCATCTTTCCACTCCAGCAGGTACAATTCTGGAAGAAGTACTTGCAGGCTATGCACTCCCTAGGGGAAATGTCGGGGAAAAAAACAACAAAAATGCAAGAATAACATTAAATGAAAAAGCAGGAACTTTGCCCAACTGAGCAGGATGAATTGTAAGACTTGAAAAATGTTTCAAATTCTGCTATTGCTGAAACAGACAAAAGCAAACTGAATGGGAGGAGGGAGCTCTAGAATATTCTGAATGGTTATAAGCTGATGTCTGTAGGGATAACACAGACTGAAGCTGCAGGAAAGATTTAGTGAAAAACATTATAGTTTGTGGCTGAGAACTTACCAAAGGTACAGCTCTTGATGGCTCCAAACTAGGTCTGGGGGCAGTTGAATACATATAGTTAAATAGGCGATCAATTTTTCTCAGAGGAACACCACCACCTTTATCACTTATCTATAAAACATAATGAAATTTTCAACCAAATAAAATGACCTGGCACACTACCAAAAAACAGAATTCCTCATGAAATATTCACTAAAATAACAAAAGAAACAATTTCTGTGTACAAGCATTTTTACCATGTGACCAATGGGTTGCTTCAAATTATTTTGGCTCTACAGAATAGAGTCGTAGGACTTAAAATGAACTCAGTATTTTAAAATGTATGGATTAAACTATATCACTCTCAGTTAGCATAGCTTTAATGAACTTTATCATGATTATAGGTCATGGGCTGTAAGCAGAAGGCAGGCATGAAAAAGATGGCTCATATCAGCAGTGCCTGCTCATCTGCAAAAGCCTCTCAGAGCTTCTGGTCAGAACAGTGGGGAAGACTCCTCCTCCAGGGCTAAGATTCTTTGAAAAGATTCCTTTCTCATTCCTTTTGTACAAGTGTACCTTACCCATTCCCATCTACAATTCCAGCAGAGAAAATTTCAGAAGTTCTCCTATAAACTAGGCCATCAGCAAATTAGATGCTCGTAAATCACATGTGTGCACACATACTTGTTATTTCACTGGCCTTTTGGCTTACTACTATAAATGCAAAACTTTATTTAGCAGATTATTTACCTTTATTGATAGATCTTCTTTACCCAAGGTGACTAATGTTTTAATTGATGGATAGCTTTCACATTTACCTTCATGTAATTCCACCGTAGCTCGCATTGAATTCTGAAAATAGAAAGTAACAGGTTTTAACACTTCTAAGGTATAACATTCTAATATTAACAATAACATTCTAATATTAACAATATTAGATAACTTATAAATCTCTAACCACAATTTTCTAACTTGTTTTATTATAAAAGCTGCCCAAATGAACCCAGTATTTGAACACAGTTGTAGAACAGAATTTCGTTAACTTGTGAAATGTCTTCATTCCTAAAAGCTACTTGCACGCAAAGGATTAGCGAACCCATAAAACTCCTGGTAAGCATGGGTTTCTCTGATAAGTGCGATGTGTACAAACAGAGCTGCCTAAACATTGTGAATGACGGATCCTAAATTGTGTACTGAAGTGCCTACAGGACTCTTCAATGGGCTCATAATATATTATTTAATTCAATATTTTAATATAAGATCAATCTGAATGATGTAACATGCATATGGTAACTATTTCTATGACATGGTAATAACTGGCTGCAAAACATTTTGTTCATTCATGCCTTATACAAAAAACAGAAATGATGAAAAAATTAACAAACTTTTACAAACAGACATCATTACTCATGATTACATTGCATTTATAGCCACCTTTTTCCTCTTGTAAGGAACCCAAGGAAGCTTACATCATTCTCCTGTTTTTATAAGAACAACCCTGTCAGGTGGCTTAGAGTAAGAGTAAGCGACTGGTCAGAAGTCATCTAGTGAGCTTCATGGCTGAGTGGGGAGTAAACTCAGATCTCCCAGGTCTCCAATCTAACACTCTCACCACCATGCTACACTTGTTCTCACAAATATACATTAGAAAGACTTACATGCTGCCAAATGTATGAATGCTCTGTCATTAATTTATATTTTGTATGTTTGTTTATAGCACCACTTTCCAAATTTTTATCTTACATATGAAAAGGGAAGACATTCATCAATTACAACACACACTTACTCTAGTTATGCACATATACTGAGAAGATCATAGGGTAACTATGGAAGCCAAAAATTATGGAAGAGCAAAAGGAAGAATGATATGAAACTTTTCTAAATTGAGTTTATACATCCCAAGGACTATGGGTAATGTTTCAAAAAATGATTAGACAGAGTAAACTTTGAGTTTAAGCTTGATCGCACTATTTTTTTCCAGTACAGTCAGTGAATGAGTTTGTATTACACTGGCTTTCATGTGGTGAAAACATTGACCAATTCTTGCAGGATAGCTTATTTGAGGGCAACAAGCCACACCGATAATTGACTTGCTACTCCTGCTTACTCAGATACTCACCAGTGCTCACTGCCTAGCAAGTGCCTAAATGGACACTTGCATGACTATGTGTTTCTGCAAGTGTAGCAAATGGAACCTTCAACTAAGTCAACGTCCTGGTGGGCACCAGCTGCCACAGTACAGCTGGTACCAACTAGGACACTGATCTGAAGAGGCTCCAAATAGGCCTTTTCTTCCCTTTGCTTTCTCAGCAGCTGTCAAAGAATGGTCCGTCAAAAGAAGCAAAAGTCTTGAGTGAGCTTTGCTCATGGAAAAGATGTGGTGGGATTTACAACCCCTGTAAATAGATTCTCCTATTTTTGTTTTAGTTTTTTGCACTAGGCTGGCATAAGGGTGAGCACACCTTTCCAGTTGTGCAAATGTGCAAGCCACCTCCCATTTAAAAGGCACTGTCCACTTTGCCAGCTAGTTGTTAAAATTCCATCTTTTAAGAATGTTATCCTGCTGCCACCCTCAGGACTCTCTGATTTTCTTCACAGGGATATGCACAGGCATAAATGCATTTGTTCAGTCAAACCACAGTGAGCCCAGTCAAGAATCCCCATTTAAAGGGAACAAACATTTTGACAACTAACTGTCAAAAAGGAGGTTTATTTAAAAGGGAACAGGTTGTACTTTTTCATTTTACTGAGTGCTCAGAGCTTCAGGATCTGGAAAAGTGAGCTCTCCCTTAGGACAATCTAATGCAAAACAAACACACACACACACACAAACCAACCAACCAACCAACCAACCAAGGAAGATCTTGCTACAAAGGCAGACATCACTTATATCATTGGTTTTGCTTGCCGTCTCATCTTTTGACCACCACCCCCAGGCTTCCATCTGCGACACTCACTGAACTGTGCACATTTGCATTTGTGCAACTCAAATAAAACGAAACATAAATTAAAGGAAAAATTTTAAAATGCTGCCTAACCACTGATTGTCCATCCAGTGTGCCACCTGGCTGACAATTTAAGGATCACAAAAGCTGTCTGTCAAGTCAGCTTTTATAATCTGCCACACAAAAAATTAAAAGGATGGAAGGAAAAGTCACAACAAGTTAAAATCAGCTTGCAATCACAGCGGGGAGAGCGAGATAAATTGGTCCAGTCCTGGGAAGGCTGAGATAAAGAACAACCCATGGTGAGCTTGATGGTTTGTGGCACAACAACCAATGCACTACAAATTAAGACCAAATAAAGAACCAAGTAGAATCAGTCTTCTTTCCAGAAGATTATTCTATTTACCTTGAACAATTCAAAAAGCATATGAAACAGATGCGATGGTACATAGACCACTTGAATAGGCTTGCCTGGTGCTTTAGCTAGAAAACAAACAAAACATTTAGTTAACAAAATTAAATTCAGCATTAAAATATATATTTGCTACTTCTCAATACTGAGGGCTGGATGAAGACTTAAGCACCGGACTGGCAGAAGTGGGCTTGCCCAACTTGTTCTCCCCACTGCAGCTTTGAACAAGACAAACTAGGGCTGCATAGAGAGATTTCCCCAAAACTGGGCAGATGCACTTGCCTGAGAGGAGCTCTTCTATTAATAGAAAACGGATTCTGGATTCAATCCTGAAAATTTCTAGCAAATAAAATATAACTTCATAGTTTTTAAAATGCTTCCTTCTATTTCCAGGGTCTAGAAAACAGCTTTATTTCCTAGGCATTTTAATAATCAATAACTGAATTATACGGAATTAATTTTAACTTTAGTTCGATTGATTTTAAATACATTTTAATGATGACTTATCCACCATCCTGGCTTAGGCTAAGTTTTGTTAAGGTATTATATAGTGGTTCTTGTTTATGTTTTTAACAGATTAAAAATTAAAAATATTATTTATTGTATAATTTGTATTATGTTTTGTTGTTGTTGGTACACTGCTCAGTCCTGTGTGGACCTATTAGGTGTGGTTTATAAATCAATCGATCAATCAATCAATATCTAAGCTTATGCCAAAGCAAAACGGAACACCCAGCTGCCTCCAACCAAATGCACTCAAGACAGACAATCCTAAAGAATTACAGCAGAAACCAATAGAGCAATGCTGCCTTGTGCGTATCTTTGCAAGTGTGGTCCAGAGCATCCATTTGTAAAATAGTACTGTTGACATAATGCATAGCTAACTCCACCACACAGTCTGTGAAGAACCACCGATTCAACTGTACATGCTAGTATTTTCAATGACCTGGATCAAAAAGCCCACCAAAAATGCATTAGCTTGTGCCAAACATGCAAGAGAAATTTACCCTTGTGTTTTCTGAACTACAGTTCCTCATGTGGCATGGTAAAGCTCTTTTGACTCAAAGGAAACTGAATGGCATTTTGTTATGGCCAAGAGGTCTGTCACTCAGAAGGAAAATGTTGCATAGTGCACATCTAAACCTTTGAATGCAACTAAACTTCTTTTGATTCTTGTCAATGGATACCCAAAATGTCCACCTATATTTCCAAAGACCTGTGCTAATATTGGCTTTTTATTAAATTCCTTATAAAGCCAATTATTAGTGCTCAAAAGAAGGGACAGTGAAAAGCAGTAATTGTGTATTCTGTTTTGTAACTTTGGAACAGTTCTTGCTCTAAATAAATGCAACCATTTACTTCTACATAAATAAATATTTCCCTGAAATCCACAAAGCCCTAGCTACTCATAAGCAATGCTTAAAACACAATGAACTTCAGTGTTACCATTGAATTCTTCAATTTCTAAATCAGGTGCTACTTGATAGTACTGCTCACACAACATTTTAGCAGTTGCAAAGGCATCTGTGAGTGAAGAAACAAAATAAAAAACTAAATATAAAACAGTGTAACAATATAACTCTCAGAAGGCTATAAACAGTTATTATTTTTAGAAAATACCTGTGAAAATCAAGCTCTCGGGTAATGTCTTTTTCTTTACTTTAAAGCAGATGATAGAGGGCTGCTAATGTGATTGAAAAAGTGAAACTAAAAAAGGGGCGCTTAAACCTTTCTCCCATAATTTCCTAGATTTAAACTTCACTGCTTCTCTTCCAACTGCTATTAGCTTAGGCAGGTTTTTAAACAGCACCACTCCCATTAAAAGCATGATTTTCAAAATAAAAAACAGTCATGATTTGGAGAGTAATTTAAATCAATCCTTGCCAAGAATAGGTTTCTCTTTTTTGTTCTGCAGTTTTCACCCATCATTTAAAAATACTGCACACTAAATTTACATATATTTTGCCAATTTGGCTTAAAAGGTAAATAAGAGGTTCTATATCTTAGACTAGGATGAGGAAAAAGCAGATTTCCAGATGTTTTGAACTCAAAATCCCAGAAGCTCCTCCTATCACTATGACCAGGGATCAGGAATACTGAAAGCTGAAATCTAAAATATCTGGAGATTAACTACCTGTTCACCTAATCTTAGGCAACAAAACAAAGCATGTAATATAGTCCCTGGATTAGATATATATGTATATGCTGGAGTAAGCCCAATTGAAATCAATTAGGTTTACTTCTGAGTAGATATGATTAGGACTAGATGGAAGTATTTTTAGAACCTGATCTTGTAGTTATTAACCAAAAGGTGTCATCTTTACCTAGGCTACTAGACCTTTAGCTACTATATACAGAAAGTTTATGCCTGGCACATAAAAATGTATAAAGAGGGCATCACGCAAACCTCTATGGGGAGCTTGTTCCAAAGTTGGGGTACCAAGGTAGACTTCTCGGGTCTATCTATTTGGCAAATTAGAGATCAAAATATCTTCAGGAATATTGATATACACACACACACACACACACACTCTCTCTCTCTCTCTCTCTCTCTCTCAATATATTTAATATTAAGTGAACTGTGTTATGGCTCCATCTAGTGACAAGAAAAGACAACACAATACAAAATCACCTCTCTCCATATCAGTGGGAAATATTAAATCTTACAAACTAAGAACCAAAACTGTATACACACACACACACACACACTTAAATAAAGAAGCTATGATTTTTTCTCGCACTCAATGGGGCTGTATTCACTAAATCACACTGCAAAAACATGCAGCTTGCAAGGACTTCATGAAGTAGCCAAAAGGATGACCAAAGTATCCTGCAAAATTGTCCAAGTCTGGAACTTTCAAGTACTGAAAGAAGAAAGTAAAAGACTGGAAAAACTATAAACTCAACAACTGGCAGAGATGGAAAGAAAGAAAAATTACAGTTGATATCAAGTCAACTATTGTGAAATCCTGAGTGGAAGTAGTACTGGCTCCCTGAAATCCAAGACTGGAAAATCAAGAGCCAGTCTTGTGATGCTCCTCTTACTCCCTGTGGAGCTGGTCCTTATCTCTCTTCCCTTGATTTAACCAAGATTTAAGTTTACATCTGCACCACCACTAGTCAGGAATACCAACTTAACTACAAGTATAAGTAGGAATGCAAATTTGGATTTGAGAGAAACTTAACCATAGTTCACATCAATACAAGAGTAAAGTCTATAAGGGAGAGGCAAAATGAAACAGATGGTTCAAATATAATTTTATGTTTATCCTTACCGTCTACCACATCAGCCACATTACAGGTTGGATCAATACTCCCAATATGTTTGGGATGAGCAGGATTAGTGACTCCACCAAACAGCAGAGCTATGCGGATAAAAAAGTAATCATTAACTTATATAGCCTTACTTTTTAAACAGTGAAGGTAAAAGAATCTGCACAGACAAAACTTGGCTCCTCAAAGTCCTTCTAGAGGTCCTTGTTTAAGGTTAAAATATACAGGGAATGCTGGGATTTGTATGGTACAAAATATACTTTCAATGGGTGAGGTGCAATGTGCATCCACAAGAACTATTCTGGTGCTCTGTTCAGCCATGCTGCACTGAGGCAATTTTATTACAAGAATGGAGTGTAACAAAACAGCAGGTACTGGCTAGGTTGCAGATTCTATCCCTGCCTCCCTCCCTCCCTCCCAATAGCCGAAGCTGGTTTGGTGCTTTACAACAACACATTAAAAATACAGTTTGGGCTTCCTTCTTTCTCAGCCACAGTGGAACACCTACAAACAAAATTATTAAATGGATTTTGAGAGGTACAGAAATGTTTACAAAATTTGACCCAGCTCTAAAAAATGCTGCAGAACTGGCTCTGCAACTCCTCTAGGTGGAAAAGGTATTAAAAAGATTTTTTTGGAATTAATATTGCTTAATGTAATAGTTAAACTAAGGCTGCAAGTTATACTAGATTACCTCACTGAACTCAAGCCTGCCTTATGAAAAGACATGTACAAGGTGTTTTGTAAGCTACACACAGTCCATTGAGGGAGATAAATTTAAAGCAACTGTATAGAACTTCGTTATACTAATATCTGAAATTGGGCCACAATTATTCACGGACAGAACAAATACAGACACTGGAAAGGCAATATACAGAAGATTAAAAATTCATGAATCTCTGATACTTCTGTCTCCGTTATCAAACAGGAAGTTAGCACTTGGAGAAACAGGTCCGGCATTATGCAATTCAGCATTAAGCCACCCTCAAAAGGCAAAGCTCTCATCAGACTAGCAATGCCAGAGTCCATCATTCCTCACCATTTTTATGCTCCATTACTTTCTGACTATCCCTATGTCTCCTCATTTCCTTGCCAGCTGACTGTGCAATATCTGTCTCCACTTTTGGCTTTTTCCCAACGCCCAAACACCCTGTTTGGAAGTCCTGGGATATTCTCAATGTTATTGGAGCTCCATGGATGGTGAAGATTCAGACTGTGTCTCTGCCAGCCTGGATAAACAACATCGTATCTGCTGTTCTCTGTTTCCTTAGAAGTTATATTCTCATTTATGTTATCTGTTATAAATAACAGAATTGGCTAGTTTCATGCTAGAAGTGAGCAGTGTGCGTGCGTGCGTGCGTGCGTGCGTGGTGAGAGCTACCAATGATTCAACAAGAAACAGGTAAATTGCTTAGACAATGTTTATAGCTGTTAAGGTATCAGCAAACAAAAACCGATTTGCCATCAATGCAGCAAAACTGACAAGAGGGTTGATTTGCACAGAATAATTTCAGCTGTCAAGGTCAAGTCTGTGATGCATTGGAACAAACTGATATTAAGTCAGCCACTTTTATAGCAGTGAAAGAAAAGAAATGGTTCCTTTTGTGTTTTGCTAAGTATGTGGAGGAAAAAACTGGTACATTCATACTAACAAAACAATGTAGACCAGATTTCCTTAATTGATGGACAATGTGCACATCAAATGCAATTCATGTGACTTGTTTTTTTCACAGCTTGCTGAGTACCAACGTGGCACTCTGCTACAGGAAACACCTTGCATGGCACTGTTCTCTGCCTGCACAGGTTGCAACAACTTCTTCCTGCCAAAGTAGGTACACCTATTCATTAAATGTCCTTTACTGACTTTCCAGGCAATGGCTATTGAAAGGCTACTGTTCCTCCCAACCATTCTTGCCTAAGTAGCTGAAAGGAAAATATTCCAGAAAGCCTACTTAGCATAGGATGTTTCTGCTTCCCTTGGTCTGTCACTCCCTTTCCCCTTATGCCAAATCCCAACCCCTTTTTCCCTGTTAATCTTTTGGCCACTTTACACTGTGATCCCTTCAGTTCTAATGACAGAACAGTGCTCAGTGCTGTAGCAGGTCGGGGAAATGACACAGAGTAAAGTTATTTTGAGTCCACTTATTTGCTAGCCTATATACTGTACTGCACTTTAATAAGGAAAGACTTGTGTAAGAGTGTTTGCAACCACCCTTTTCACCAAAAATGGTACTCAGTGTAGCTTACAAACAACTAAAATTGATTTAAATAATCTATTAGAATACAATGAAATATAACAATTATAAAATAAAAACTAAAGGAAGCACCCAAACCACAAGACTCAGAGGCCAAAGACATTCTTGAATAAAGTGGTCTTTTCCTACCAGCACAAGGACAACTGAGTGGGAGTGAACCTAGCTTCCCTTGAGAGAGTTCTGCAGCTTATGAGCAGTCACCAAAAATTGTGTCTCTTGAAAGCAACACGTCTCCATAAGATCTCATATGGGAGAAGGCAGCCTTTCAGGTAGCTTACTCCAAACCCATATAGTGTTTCAAAGGTCATAACCAGCACTTGATTTCTGCCCAGAAACAAAAGCAGTAGCCAGAGAAGCTGCTGTAACACGGAAGTTACCTGCTCTGTATGACTGAGCCTGGTTTACATTCTGGCCATAGTTTTCTGGACCAGTTGAAATTTCTAAACAGTTTGCAAAGGCAACCCTACAGAGAGCACATTGCACTAGTTCAAACAGGATATATCTAAGACATGGGTCCTCCAACTACAGCCCGCAGGTTGGATACAGCCTGCCTTGCTTATTTATCCGGCCTGCCTCAGACGTTTTGGACTTGCTCAGAGAAAATGATCTCCAAGCGAGTCCTAAAGCTCTGAGCTGGCACTGGCGTACTCAGTGGGGACATGTTCATGATCGCGGTTGTGTTTGTGCAAGGAAGGCGGGCACAATCGCCGTTGAGCTGAGGGGGGGGAGATGGCCACGATTGTGCTCGGGGGTAGGGGAGAAGGTTGTGCCCCACCTCATCTTGGGCTTGTGCTGCAGCCCAAGCAAGCAGAGCAATTTTTTATTTTTTTATTTTAATTGTGAATAATTTTAATTTATTTTAATTTATTTTAATGTGCAGTGTGCATAGGAATTCATTCATATTTTTTTCGAACTATAGTCTGGGCCCCCAACAGTCTGAGGGACAGTTTACTGGTCCCCCGTTAAAAAAGTCTGAGGCCTCCTGATCTAAGACATGTGTGACTATAGCCAGAATGGACATCATCCCTAAGAAAAAGTGTAGTTGGTGCTCTAGTTTCAGCTGTACGAATGCACTGTTGGCAATTGTCAGGACCTGACATTCAAGTTCAAACTGCAAGTTAAAGAAAGTTTAACTCTATCTGGCACAGGTTATTGCCTATTCTCTGATCTGACTTTCAGCTGACCAAAACTACCTCAGTCTTTCTGGGATAAGTTTCAATTTGTTTGCCTGCATCCAGTTTATTATTGATATCAGACACTAGTTTAGAACCAAAATAACCTTCCTTACATTTAGATATAAAGGAGAGACAGTGTTGGGTGATATCAATATACTGGTGGCACCAAACTCTAGACACTCTCTTCCATCTGTTTCACATATATACAAAATAGCATGGGGGATAAGATGGAGCCCAAAGGTACATAAAAGGCCAAAGGCTATGATGAACAAAAATACCATAGTACCACCTTTTGAGATTGACCCACACACACACACACACTAGAGCCACTGTATAGCCATGTCTCCCAGTCCTACTTCAGAAAGACAGTGCCAAGCCATACCAAGATGATCCTGAAAGCTTATGAAAGTTCAGCAAAACTAAGAAGGACACGCTCCTCCTGTCCAGATCCCCAAGGAAGGCAACCAAAGCGGCCAGCCCCATAACTAGATTTGAAATTCATCTGAAATTGACTGAAATACATCTAGACAACCTGTCTCATCCAGAACTTCCTGAAGTTGAGAAGCCACCACACATTCCAACCCCTTGCCTGAATGGAATACTGGGGATAGGGGAGAAATTAACAAATATAGTGGGCTTCAGAAAGAGTTGCTGTTTTTTTAACTTCCTTCAGGCATGATGGAATCACACCTTGCCATAAAGAGGTCTTTATCACAACTTTTACTCAGGCAGCTCCTTGTTTTGATAAGCCCCATGTTTTCATAAGACAGGAAGGACAAGGGTCCAGCACACAAGACGGGCACACACAAGGAGCACAAGAGCAAGGAGTTACTGGTATGTAAAAACCAACCAATGGAGTCTCCCTTTTGCTTTGTAAGCAAGAAGTCCAATTACCACTTCAAAAGGAAATAGAAAGCAGATACTTACTGTGCTGGTTAATAAGCATACGGAATGAGATGCGGTTGGTGTAGAACCTATCTAGAAAATACTGGATATTGCTGCTCACAAAAGGGTCAAAGCCATATTTTTCCTTGTATTCAATAACTCCTTGGGCCATGGTAGGAACAACATCATTGTGCCTGTTCCTGACTTTAATTAAGATATCTAGAAAGCTGGAGGTAAAGAAAAATCAAAAACACAGTTTTGTTGCTATTGTTATTATCAGTATTACAACTACTATTAAAATATTAACATAGCACCCTTCATTATGGAAGTACAGAGAAATAAAATTCATTACAACAATAATTACTCCAAAGCCTTACAGGAACTGCTACATGAGCACTTTAGGTGGCAGCTGTGTTTGAGTGCCATCATGCTTTATTAAAAAGAAAAATCCAGGCCTGTAGTTAAAGATAAGGCTGGCTATTTCAAGTCATTATTTGAATGTCAGCCTTTTTCACCTCTCCAGTTTATTGCCATATGCCCCTAAGCTTCCTGCCTAGTCTCTTTTCAGTCTGCCTGTTCCTTTCAGATCTTCTATTGCTTTCTTCTTCCTCTGAACTATTCCTTATTCAACATTCTCCTTCAGATATCTATGTTGTTTGGGGACTGCTGCCATTTTAAGCCCTCTGCCCCTTCTTACCTAAGCACTTGAATCTTCCCTGCCTCTCTCCAAGATGTGACCAATTGATCCAATAGAGCCAGAGACTTTCTTCCCTTCCTACTTCTCTATAACATTAGGGCAGCTCAGCCTGTCACCACCAAAAGTTTCACCATCACCAAAATCCCACTACAGCTGTTCATATATTACAATATAGATATGCTAGGAAGTTAAGTGTATTCCAAGGAAGTCTATTTATATCTTGGATACACAATTAGGTTAATGTGCATATATCTTTAAGGGGCTGCTGCTGAATGATTTGCACTTTAGTGCAACAATTTTTAAATGAAAATATTCTTAATATTAGTAAAGATAGTAAAAAATTAGTAATGGTTGGAAAGTAGGAGCAGCCCTCCAACATGGCTCCTAGTTTAAAGGGATGGCTCATAGCTGTCAAAACAGGGATCATAAAAGCTAGCTTTCACAGTCTCCAGGAAGAAGTCTGAAGGGGAAAAAAGCTGTAGCAAGGAGGCAAAGAAGCCAGGACTCAAGTGCTGCTAGGGGTCTTTAGGGATGGCAGGTACTGGCAAGTTGCCTGGGAGCTGAATACCAAAAGAAGTGAGAATTTTTGCTGCTCATATCATGGGGCTCTATAGCCAGTTCCTCAGACCCATGATGGAATAGGCTGTCCAGTTTTCTTGACAAAACAAGCCATCATGGGAATAAGCACATCTATGACAGCCCATATACAGGCAACCTTGGGGAAACTGGTTAAGGTTTCCACATGACAATTCCATCACAGATTGCTACCTACCTTATTCACCTTTCACACCATCCAGATGTACCTTTCATTTTCAGATATAATGAGGGTTAGCATTATGTACCCCAGCAGTTTTTATTAACTATTGTTAGCTCATACATAATCCATAGTTAGCTTTGAAAATGGAGGAGTAAAAAAGACAAAGAAACCCACATTAGGAAACTGGGCATGGTTTCATTTGCACTGGACTTTTAAAGCTCTGCTGTTGAATACTTGATAGATGGTTACTATGAAATAAATAATGCAGCCTACATACCTATTTATGTCATAAGAACAGATGAAAGCTTAATGTATTGGTTAACTATTAACTTCTGTTTATATAAAACCCTAATACAATTGCTTAAGCTGTGACCTGTTGAGCAGAACAGTTGAAAACAAAAAGTCAGCTGATACCTAAATGAAAGCATCCCAAGTCCACCATTTCCTCCACTATTTTTATGATTATATGCTTATTTACTGAACATGAGAAATATAAAACAGAACTATCTCATATATAAAATTAAGAAAATCTTTTTAAAGGCAACACTAAAAAGCATACTGTTTGATATACTACACTGATCAAACTGTAAGCTACTGGGCATGTTAAAGCAGTCCATTTAAAGATAGCAGAGAATCAATTAATAAAGGCCGGCAAGGAACTCTTTTAAGAGGAAGAGGATTGGAAAACATGTATGTTTTAAACTACTACAAAAACATTGTTGCTGTTTATACAAGAAAATGTTGTTCGCTGCCAAGAGTATTGCTATAACTACTTAAGATTCCATATAGACCAGGGGTCTCAAACTCAACTTACCTGGGGGCCGCTGGGGGCTGGGCTGCATCAAGTATTCCACCACCGCGGCGGTGGTGGGCCGCTCATCCCGCGTCACTCCTGGAGCCCGGCCCAGGCGCTGCCGGCGCTTTGAAGGCCGCAGGGCCCCTCCCCCGTGCCCTGCCCATCCCGGCGCGCAGCTTAGAGGGAACATTGCGCCCAGGGTAACAACTCACGCAGGTGTGTGTGAGAAAAACGTGCGGGCCGCACTATCACTAAACTTTGATATCAAGTGGGGGCCACAAAATTTCATCCCACGGGCCGCAATGGGCCCACGGGCCGCGAGTTTGAGACCCCTGATATAGACATACATGCAAACTGAAGTAGCGGCAAATTTTTCTGCTTCTTGCCCTTTGCTCATTCCCCAAACAACACACGTATGTTCTCTGAATTCAATGCTGATTGGTGCTTCCTTTTTGGGTGCAGTTGCCTGCTTTGTGGGAGAATTTCCCCCATGAGAGTTTTGCATGTTCGTGTACAAAAACGTTTTGGTGCTTTTTGTTATTTTATGTTTAATCCTCTCCAACCATGGCCAATTTACCTTGAAAAAGCCCTTCAGTAAGCGGAAGCTTTGTGACCAACACAAGGAACAGCCAATCATTATTGCGCATAGCCCCTCACTAAGGGGAAAGGGGCAGGCCAATCAGTCTTGCTGAAAATCATGTTTCTTCTGAACTCATTCTGGGGGAAACTGTCTATCTGATCAAGTGCGATGCATACTGTACCACAGTAGATGTTTGGATAAAATTATACATGTCTAACATACCCCAATATTTGCTTAGATCCAATATTTTAGCTGCTGTACAACACATATTATACTTGCTGAGAACCTGGCTATCAATCTAACAATCTAGCAGTACAGTGAAGGGAGCAAAGAGGGTTTAACATCAACATAATGGTGGCAAAGTAGGTGGAGTTAATTAGGAACCATATTTCTCCAAATTCTCTCAAGAACCTGAGAGGCAGAATAGATAATCCTTTACTCACACCACACAATTTTGCACTGGCCCCAGCAAATTCATGAGAAGCTCAGCATTAACTTTATTTTGCCAGGAAAATAGTTGGCAAGGGGTTCAGAGTTTCAGGTCTGCATAGTTCTGCCCAAAAGAAACACAATTATGCAAACTAAGCAAAACTGTGCAAATTTGCTTTAATTAATTTAACTTATATTAATTATATTGTGGTGTCCTTCCTTTACTCTTGTCAAGATGTCCATGCCTCCCAAAACAACAATCTATTTGCTTAGCAGCTGTTGGGATAATTATAGAAGAAACTGTTGGTTCAAAGAATTTGTTCAGTATGTTGGGGCTCAGTCCCCACTTCTGCCTTGCACTCAGTTTTTGGGGCAGGTTACTTCCATTGCCATACTTCCCCTGACAGTTTTTTCATATTGCTCAATTTGCTCACAGTATGAAAAGGTTGCCTACCACTGGGATACAAGAAACCATATTTTCTATGCACAAAATACACTGTCTCCCAACTGAAACTATACATTTTCATTTCAAAAGTCCAAAATGGCAGCAAATCTCTCATTTCCAATAATTACAAGTTTAAAATATTCAGGTGAGAATGCTTAATAACTGATATGAGGGGGGAATTATGCTTGAGTTCACAGTCTTGCTCCCATTAAGAATGCAAGCTCCCACTATATCCTTATCAGCTTCATTCTCCAGATATATTAAACAGTTTTCTAGCCCAGAGGGCTGCTGAGATGTAAATATAACCCTTCCTATCAAGTAATAAAATCATGTCCATTTTCCTTGCAGGTACTTTCCTAACATACCTTTCTGATTGCAAAAGAGTGCTCTTCTTTCTAAGATATTTTACTTGCCATTTTCCTGTCTAATCAGCAATGCTTAAGCACCTTTGCAAATTCTTCATGCAGTTTTCAAATGATCCATTACTCTAAAAATAATAACTAAGGAATTTGAACAGTAACAACCTAATCCCAAACCTCAAAACCTTCAAATTGCACAAGAAGGGTTTTAACCTACTCACCTTCCTTGCTGATTGGACAAGGACCCCTTCTTGAAAGTTATTTAATGCTTAAAAGCTTCAGCTAGATTAGATCCTGCTGATTCTATGAGAATCTGAGACTTAAAGCCAAGAGAAGTCCATTTCTTTACTTTGGTGCTTCAAATGAAAAAAGAAGTATTCTTTTTTTTTTTGTATATGAGGAGATCCAAGTATCACAGGGCATCCTATTTCGCTAACATATAGAGAGATGGCATATAAGGATATGTTATGTGAAAAGAAACCTGGGTTGCTTGATTTTTATTAGTTACATTCAAAGGTAGGTGATAAAAGCACTTTTATCCTAATTAATGGTGATGCTTGTTCAAAGGAAAGAAAATCTAAATACTTTCTAAATACCCTGTATGCATCTGCATAATTTGTTGTGATTTTTCACTACTCTGTATAGGTCTAAATTATGATTAAGGCCAAACCATTTCTCACATCTTTTCCGAAAGGGCAGCACAATACTGATCACTGTCACTATCAGCCATAACTATTATGCAAAGCTCAGATGAAATCACTGCAGTGCTACCTTCATAATGTTCACAATTATTCTACACTTGTACTTGCTAGTTTATACTATACAATATAGTATCATTCAGTTTAGAAATGTTTCCTTTGAACACTGTATTGCTGAAAAAAGGCTTTAGGCTGCAGTCTAAAATGTGAGGTTCTGCCTGTGTATATGCAGAACCTCACATGCATCTGGAGATTTACGAAATTTCTTATGACACTATTTACACAGTTGGATGGGACATCTTTTTGTTGCATTTTATTTAAAGTCACTTTGCTATATGGCTATGAAAATTTCTAGGGGGAAAAACCCTTTCCAGGGCACATACAGCACTTTCTTAACAACAGAAGCACTTTTCTACATTGCTGTGATTGTGGAGGGTTAAAATTTAACCCTCCATTAACCATTACTTTAAACTATTGAAAATGATACGTAAAAGATGTACACTGATCAGTTCACAACTATATCAAGCATTATCAGGAAACCTTTCAATTTATTCATTTGTCACTATTAAATAATTGTGCCAAAAAAATAATTGTTCATTGAAACACAGCAAGTTTTGTGACTTAAAATTCTGACTGTAACTTCATTAAGGCAGAAAATTAATACATGGTTTTCACAATGTTAGCTTGTTTAAAAGTACCATCATTATCACAACACTTACTTATCTAAAACATGTGGATCTTCAGGACTTTTATTTTCATATTCTAAAAGTTCAATAAAGCTCTGCATATACCTGAAATAGAAATGAATAGAAAAGTTAAGATAAAATCATCTAGGGAAAAAAATCTTGAAAAACACAGAGATCTAACTAAAAAGGCAAGTTACAATGGAAGCAAGCTACATTTAATTTAATGGTGCTTACTTTTGAGTCAACGTGCATTGGATGGCATGGCTAATCCAATAAATCTGTCCAATCATCAAATGGACCCTGAAATGCTAGAAACTACTAGAACCAATAAAAATTGTCAACTGATAAATGGTACATTAAAACACATTTTTGAAATACGGTACATAGGCTGTTAAATTTTGCTCAACTGTATCAGTTGGTATCCTTTAATCTCAATTGAAGGATTACTATTTTTGAATTGACAATCCAACCATTTATTGTTTAAAAAAGCTTTTTAAAACATACCTATGCTTCCCAGCAGTTGATGCATTCTAATTAATCTGCATCAAATGGTAGTGAATAGACTATGAAGATGTGACACTAAGAGTGCAATCCTATGCATGTCTAGACAGAAAAACTTCCACAATTCCCCAACTAGCCATGCCAGCTCAGGAATGCTGGCAGTTGTATGACCTTTCCCCCTGTCTAACTTGTTGCTCAATAAACAACTGCAAATATGTTCATTGTCATATTACAGGAATTTCCACAGGCAATTTATAGAGCAATAGTATGGCTCCCATATAGTGCCTGGGGAACTATAGGATGGTTCCGATAATTTGTTCTCTGCCTAGACAAAGCTAAGAGATCTGAGAAGATCTGATCATGGATCTCCTCAAACCCCATCCACCACGATGTGTGGCTTCTCTTCCAAAGTTACAACTTTCAAAAGAGACACCAGAAGGGGAGAAAAGTGGCCACAATGGAGGGCAGGTTGGAAAGGAAGAGAGGCCTTGATTCTTTCAATCCAAGAAGTTCTCTGTTACTGTCCCTGCCCGTATGACTTAAAGAATTCTAAACAGAGAATGCAGACAGTGTTGTCTAGCTTTTACCAGCAGAGCTTTAAATAGACAAAGGGTTCTGGGATTGATGTTCTGTGTCTATCAAGCATCATTTTTTAGGACAGTGCTCTTAAATGATCTAAACCAGGAGATGGCAACACAATACATTTGGACACAATACCACCAACCAAGACTCCTGACAGCATTTGCCAAGACCCCTTCCTCATTCCTTTTTCCTTTCTCATACCGCACGGAAGTGACAGTGCATAATCCCTCTTGGCCACTGATTTCCTGCCTTCTAGTTCTTTCCTGAGAAGAAAGAGTTTGCACTGCATAAGCAGGCAGACAAGGGACTGGCCAGCCAGCTGGACAAAGAAAGAATGGCTAGCAAGGAAAACAGGGAAAGCCAGCAGGGCAGGTGAGTGGGTGGGAAGACAGAAGCAGCTGTCAGGGTGGGCAGGTCAGAGAAGCAAAAGTAGCCAGCAGGCAAAAAAGAGAAGAACAGGTGAGGGCAGGTGTGAAGCAGAGGCAACTGGTGCAAGAAGCAAATTGGTAGACAGAGCCAACAGGGAATGGGGAAAGGTGGAAATGGCAGTAGGCAGGAGAAGTGGGGGTGCAAAAGAAGAAGAAATCTGGAGAAGGAAGTGGACTAATTTCACTGGGGGGGTGGATAGACAAATTTCCACAGGAAGGAGGTAAAGAATAGAGAGAATCTCACCAGGTGGAATGGGAAGTAAAGGAGGTATAAACTGGTCTCATTACGTCATTTCAAGATGTAACAGAGAGGAAAGACTATTAGTGAGATAATTAGAAGCAACTGGGGTTTTTGCCATTGCCACTGGGCCATGTTCCTACATCACAAGTCACCCTGAAAAAAGGCCACCCAGAACTACACTGAGGAAAGTGCTCCAAATACAGACATCACAACAAGCCACCATGAAACAAACAAAGCTGACAACCAACTGTGGGTTGTCATATGAACCAGTTGGTTTTGAACACAGTTTACTGTTCAAATGTCCCAGTTAGACTGAAAAGCAAAGAAAGAAGCAGGCCACAAACTGGTGCTAGAAAATGATCTATGTTTTAAGAAGAGCCAACACACTTTGGCTATAGTACTTCCTCCTAAGCAAATGGCCTTCATGTGTCTTATTCTACTACTGCAAAAGGTACTCATACATGTATGCAAGAATTTAAACTCATTAAAATGGAACTAGAGTTCTGAGAAAGGAAGACATGAGAAGCTGAGGCAGGCAGGCTGGATCAAAAGAAAGAAGGAAAGAGTCTAAACCAGAGCTTCCAGGTAGGGAAGGAGGCACTGGAATTTATATGGGGAGGAAAAGCCAGGACTGGGGCACAAGCCAAATTCATGAATGTATTATATGCAAGGCTGCCATCAGTAACCCACAGTTAAACAATTTTTCCTTGTAAAATTCATAATGTTAGTTCATGTAGAAGTCTTGCCTTTTATCTGTACCTACCAGCTCTGAACCAGTTTAACAGAAGGTCTATTCAGCAAGTTGTCAGGCAACAAATTGACTTCTCTCATGGTGTTAGCAAGTCGTACAGGAAGTTCTTTTCGCAGGAACATGTATGATGTTTTTTCACATGCATTATCACGCCCTGAGGAAAGAAAGGAAAATATTGCCAAATTGAAATAAATTTCAAGATGTTCTCCTGTTCTCCAAACTTTTTTAGAAAATAAAAATAAGATGCAGAAAAGAAAGAAATCATATTAAAATTGGATTTCTTGATTTTAAATTTCCTTTCTTTATACTAAATCTTAATTCAATCCAATTGTTCAGAATTCCATACTCAACTTGCAATCTATAGAAAATCCACTGTCGAGTTGGCAAAACATCTACTTATTAATTACCTCCATGTTAGCTAAACAGCTCCAAACAAATATGACTGGCTACAAGTGGAATTTTGATGTTACTCTGGAACAAGAGAATTCACTCCTATAAAAGATGTGAAGCCATGTCACTCTGTCGATAGTCACTGTAATAGTGAAAGTTAGTAGCCCTGTTTTCTGAAATAACTTTTATCATTAGCAAACATTTGAATGTTGTAATGCTTTGTAAGATCATTAAGATTAATTTCCCATGAAGACCTGAGGCATTCATAATACACACAAGGGGGAGGGGGGTGGACTAATTTATATCTGGCACATGACTGAAGTGACTAACAAATTGGACCTGAGGAAGTTTTATTAATTTTCTTTTCAAGCAAGAAGCTAGTGGTTTTTAATAGTAATGAATACATTACATTTTCAGTGATTCGTTATGGAATGATTTTGCTTTAACTCCCTTTATTATTTGAATGGTTTTAGGAATGGACAGATATGCCCTGTTTTACTTATCACTGCAGTCTGATGCTCTCTAGATACTTTGGACAACTCCCAGAATTTCTATTAATGATACTGGCTGGGGCTGACAATCGTTCAAATCAAAAACATATGAAGGGCGCCAGGTTAGGGAAGCCTACCCTTTCTAATGCTGATGTTGGGTTAGTGCAGCAGCCCAGGCTTGTATGTAAGAATAACTGCATGTTTGATTATGGAACAGATGATACTGGGTTTGGGGAGCTATGGGTGGGAGAAGGAACAACATGTTTAGAAAGTAGTTACAACCTAAAATGTTGATCACACCTCTACGAAGTCTAGGTCTGCAAGTCCCATTGAAATTAACGCAAATGAAAGATTTTAATGTATGTTTCATTCTCTATGGAAATTATGCCTGTCATTTCATTACACCCTTACAGCCCAATCTTATATATGTCTTTTGAGAAGCAAGCTCCACGTTCCATACATATGGGTACTGCACTGTAGCCTTAGCCTATAAACACATTGAAACTGGTTGAAATTTGGTAAAGGTTTGTTCATTGTTACTTTAAAGAAACTTGGATGTTCTCAACAATACCCAAAAGTCAGATATCTAGGCTTCAAACTGCAGACTATACACTATTTCATTTCTCTCACCCCCTCCCTAAGAGCAGACAACTCTACAGTAATATACAAAAAGGCCAGGTAAACTCACAGACCTGTGTTTTACCTGTAATGAGCTGTCAGTATTCCACTTTAGGCAAGAGAAAGATTGCAAATGTGTTAGTCATGGTCATAAAAGACAACCATCTGCAAAATGAACAAGTACTGCAAGGTACTGATTAAGTTATGTTCATGCAGCCTGGGAAATAATGTTAAAAGCATTGCTATGCATATAATAACTAAGATTTGCAATTTGAAAAATCCTTAAGTGTAGTGCAACTGGCACAATCAAGGTCACACTTTTTAAGGCAGTCCCATTATAATCAGTTCAACAGCACATCATTCAGCATCTGTTCACAGATAATGTACATTGGCAGGATAGAGCCCAATCAGCTTTTTTTCTCTAAGTACTCAGTTTTGTTCATTTCTTTAAGGCATGCCTGACAATGGCTTGTTATAGCTTAGTAATTTTTTGTTTTAGACATGATCCTGCAACTATTTATTGATGTATGTCTTTTCCTGTTCATCTGCATGCATGCACATTTCTTTTTCTGGCCAGAGGTTTTTGTGAAGCATTTAATCAATGATATATAGCGGAAGCTCCATTCTGTCATATAATTAATCTGGAAAGCCTATTTAGAACCCTCAGAACTGTATGAAATCATCTCTGTTTTTCTGACACAGTTGACTTTGAATCCAACCAGTGATTCATCTGGGAGAGTAAGGCAGACCATTTCTGGTTACCACAAGGAGTCAAATTTTCATTACTGTTATCAGAACCATTATTATAGAGTACACAGGTCAGAAGATGACTCCTCTTCGCTAGAACTTTTTATCTTCCAAACTGCAAGAAGCATTCTGTCACCACCAGGGGAAGAATCACTGGGGAAAACCACTGAGACCATAGCACTACCACAACAATGTTAGATTAAGGACAGGAATTTGCTCCTAAAAGGAAAAAGCATGAGAGAAAGCATATGGACCAATCTGCATAATGTTAGCCCACTATGTGTTATTTAAGTGCAGCATATGTGTTCACCATCTTACATATTGAATTCTAGAACAGATGATGGGCTGCTTCACTTCATGCTTGCTGGGTGTGCTACCTCATGCTTGCTGGGTGTACAGAACAGAGGTTGGGTATATAAAGTGGCATCCATGGGCACCAAGGCCTAGCATGAGTGAAACAGCACCAAGCGCCATGTTATGGGAACCAGGTCATTATCCCAGTAGCAGGAAACTTGTGAACCTACAACTCTCATTAGTGCTGCAACCACCATGACCATTGGTTAGAGATGATTTCTAGGAACGGCCATCTAGCAACATCTGGATGACAAGAGGGTCCCCATTCTGGTGTATGGGGTCCAACAATCTATTCTTCATTTCTTAGTTGTGGTTAAGCTATCTAAAGTCTTATGTCCACAACAGCCCAATGTGAACACTAAAACATTATAGAGTAAAAAATAAACAAAATACTATTTAATGACTCTAATTACAAAAGCCTTTTTAAAATTCTGTATGATTTTTCCATTTATCTTGCACTGCGGGAAGTCTTGTTAATTGATTTTAATTGTTATTGATCTTCGGAAAATCAATAATGTGGAATAGGTCTAAGCTGAATTCTATTCAGCTCTTGAGGGTGAGAACTGAGGCTTTTTAGTTGCTATTTGAATCAATTAAACAGCTGCAGGTTGTTTTAAGCCAAAATGATGTATTTATAACTGGTGGGAAAGAAACCAGAAAAAGTCATAACATAACAAAGTCTAGCATTCTCTTTACTAATTCTCATCAAGCAATGAGATGTGGAATAGCATTACTTATCTGCTATTGCTCAGTCAGGTCACCTCTTTCATATCTGGGTAGAAAGTTTTCTATCCCTTGTCCTAAGTGTCAAAGTTCATATTATCCTAAAGATCCATGACTGATCTACCAGTATTTTTGTATTCACTTTAAAAATGCTATAGGAACAGAGTCTAAATTTGTTCAGAGTACTGGCCCTATAATAAGGTTATTTATCCTTCCCGCTATGTTTTTTTCCAAATCTAAATTAGCCCTCCTGATAGACTGAAGAAAAAAATTGATTGTCTGTCCCTCTCCCAGCAAGCTAAGGCTAGCAGCAATTCTGGAGAAAGGCTGATACTTAAATAAGGAAAACAGAGCACAACCACTGTTATTAAATTCATCCTCCACAGTAGACTGGTGAATTTTATTTTGGAAGTGTGGGGAGTGGAAAATTTCTCTCTAAAAGTTGTAACAGTTTGAAACAGTTCCCAGCATACCAAATTGTTTCTATGTCTGGACATAACACTATACAATGATTTATAGAATCACACAATAAAAAAGTTGGATGGGGCCATGAAGGCCATCGCGTCCAACCCCCTGATGTTGAAGGACACCATGTTACACCATCCTACTCAGATGGCTGTCCAGGTTCTTTTTAAATGTCTCCAGTGTGAGAGAACCCACCATTTAATTTAGCTTCAGCATGATTTATTAGTATGCCTGACTCAAACACAGTGCAATTTTGTACAGACAAAATCTCAAGGTCTAGTTTAAAATTGGCCTATGAGGTTTGGTTTCTTTTGTTACATCTGAAATTAACAGTCTGGCATAATCCTACTTTGTTGTATCATGCTCTCCCTTCCTGACTATAAAGACTCCAGAAGAAATTAGCTAAAAGAAACTGCTCACCCTGTTAAGAGACTCTTGCTAGAAGTTTCAAAGACCTCTTGCACAGTTGTTAGAAAGTTATGCCAAAAGTTTTACAGATGTAACTGCACGGTCTGACTTAAAAGTTTCCCCCAATCACTATTCATTCACTTGGCACCAAACTCCTCCTTTTATATACTATAAACCCAAATGATTTGAACACCTGTTCTTCTACTAGAGTACCAGTAAAGTTTTATTAGTAAAACTAATAGCACTGTGCTATTAATCCTTGCTTCATAGGGATAATGAGAAGAACTGTCTTTTTAAAGAGTACTTTAGGACTCTTTATTTTGCTCATAAACTTGCTCAGGGATAACAAAGATCTCGGCAAAGTTCATATTCTCTGACCTGTTTTCTGCAGCTGTGCAATAACAAAAGAACTTAAGAGATAGTGCTGTCTTGCAAGTGTGTGCCACAAGGAACTTAAACCCAGGAGGCAGGTATTCACAGAGAAAATGGACCAGTACCACAGTTAGTCAGAACAAGCCATAATTTGACAGTCTGCAAGCAGCATCCTGGCTTCTTCAATGAATCATAGCTAAGGTAAGCCATGGATTAACATTATATCAAACTGCAACCTGTGTTCAAATGTATAAATTATTTAAATATATTACAGACCATGGGACATATGCAACAACTGCAGGTTTCTAATTCTGAAAGAAAATCTAATATTCTCAAAATACAAAGATATGGCTTCTCTAAATCATTACCATATTCTTAAAATAACTCAAATACTAGAATCTTTTACAACAAAAATTGACAAGATTGATATCAAAACAAGAAATGTTCTAGTATGTATACATATTGTATTGTATGTATGCATACAAAATTATATGTCTACATGCAGCTTGGAAAAGGGGTTAGTGAATTATTTTCTACTGTGTAACTGCTGCTAGAGTTCAGCAGATTACAGTTTTTAACCAGGAAT